CATTGCTCTTGTTCTTTCTAACAATGTTCTGTTCATCCGCTCTGCCACTCCATTTTGTTGAGGAGTGTTCGCCACTGTGAATTGTCTTTTGATGCATTCTTTTATGCAAAAGTCATCAAATTCTTCACTTGTGTATTCTCCTCCATTATATGTTCTGAAACACTTGATCTTATTTCCATAATCAAGTTCCACCCGCGCTTTGAAGTTTTTGAAAGTTGAAAACACATCTGACTTCTTCTTAATAGGGTATACACAATATCTCCTAGAGTAGTTATCAATAAATGAGACAAAGTATTTTACTCTGCCTAGGGATGTAACTGGTGCTTGCCATACGTCAGAGTGAACCAATTCTAGAATAATTTTTCCTCTATAGTTTGACGTGTTGAATTTCAACCGGTGCTACTTACTTGTTATGCAGTGCTCACACAAAGTAAGTGATATCTTTGTTAAGCCTGGAAGTAGTTTTTGCTCCACAAGGACTTTCATTTCTTGTTCTGACATCTGTCCAAGTTTCTGATGCCATAATATTGCAGAATCTGAATTACATGAGGCAACAGAGGCTTCTGCTTCTAGCAAAGTCTCTCCCTTCATCATGTATAAGTTTGCTACTATCTTTTCGCCTTTCAGAACCACAAACGCTCCACTAAACACCTTCATGATTCATTTTCGTGTTTCAATCTTGCTTGCATTATTATCCAACAATCCGTAGGATAATAAATTTGTCTTTAGGCCTTTCACGTGTCGTACATCTCGAACAACTTTAATTGTTCCATCATACATCTTCAATTTGATGGTTCCCACACCAACGATCTCTAAGGCATGATCATTGCAACTATACACAGATCCTCATGAGACAGGCTCATAATGATGGAACCATTCTGTTCTTGAGGTCATGTGATATGTTGCTCACGAATCAATGAGTCATATATCTGTAAATCATTTTCTGCCTTCCACGGTGGTTGACACTTCACAGCATAGAGCATCTCCATCATCTGAAGTGTTTGCGGTATTGCCTTGTGGATTGGAGTTTTTATTTAAACTCCATCAATCCTTCTTCAAGTGACCCTTCTTTCCACAATTGTAGCACTTTAAATTCTTCTTGCTCCTCGACTTCGATCTACTATATTTGTGACTGCTGCTTTGGCCACGTTCTGTTGATCTCCCTCTCATCGTTATCAATGATTCTGCTTGTTGCAGATTTACTTGTCTGTCTTCCTTGTTTTTGCACCGATTTTCTTCTTGTAGAACAGCAGCTGCAACGTCATCGAAGACTAGACTGATTATATTACTGTTTGTCAAGTTGATGATGAGTTGATCATACGAATCCGGTAGACTTTGAAGTAGAAGTTCAGTACGTTCTTGTTCTCCTATTTTTACAGCTTAAGGATGTAAGCTGAGAAAATAAAGTGTTCAGTGTATTTAAGTGCTCCGTCACTTAAGTAGATTCTGGCATAGGGAAAGTGTATAATTTTATCTTAAGAAAAATTTTATTGTGCAGTGATGTGGCCTCGTACAATTTGGTGAGATGATCTCATATCTCCTTAGCTGTCTTTTTCTCCTTGATTCTTGACAATACTTCATCAGCTAATGCTAAATGAAAGTTTGTCATAGCATTTCCATCCATTTCGATCCATTTGTTGCTTCTGTGAAATCCACCGGCCTTTCACTGATAGCTGCTAGACAACCGTTTTTCCTCAGGATGACATTCATCTTCAATTTCCACAATGAGAAATTTCTCCCATTGAATTTTTCAATATCAAATTTTGTTGTCATAGCTTCTTTTACGGATAGCTCCCACTATTTCATTATCGTGAATAGTTCTCTGGAACCTTTAAAGAATGGGTAATAACTTATTACTTTCTTATGTTGGAGGATCCACCTTTTGGTGGCAACCACAAAGACAATAAACAGATATTACACACACTAATCTGGCTCTGATACCAATTATTGCGGAAGACGACTATCGGATAGAGAAAAAGCGTAACTAATAATTTGAGAGAATAAAAATCAAGATAAAAGATACACAAAATTTATATGAAAAACCCCTAAATAATATAGGGTAAAAACCACGGGCAACGGTAGAAGAATTTCATTATTAGAAAATAAGAATTACAATTTCTCTCGATCTACCAAGAAGAAACAATGATAATTCTCTCTTGATAAAAAGGAGAAAATAACTCTCAATAAACTCTCTAAATTCTCTATAGTATTGGAAGAAAGCTAGAATGCTTTGGGATGATTTTCAAGCTAAATGAGCTAGGATATTTATAGTTGAAGCTTAAGAACTAATTTGTAAATACCCTAAATTACAATGACTAAAAAATGCTTTTACCATTTAAAAAAATTCAACAATATTAGGCTGGAATGTTCGGTGCATTGATTATAGGTACTTTCGGTGCCTTATATTGTTGACTTTTCAACACTGTTCATTTGTGAATAATTGAAATTATTTTTCCAAACACTCTCCGTGCTCGTTGATTACTACTATTACCAACGCTAATCATCATCTGTTTTTAATCTCTTAGTGTATAATGTATTAGGAGGTGGCGAGAGTCATTTGTATGGGACTGAGGGGTCACTTTTTTATTTAAGGAATGGGATTAACAATTTCAACTTCTGTTTCATTCTTGATTTTCTTTTCCTCGGAATTCTGCGAATATCAAAGAAAAATTATGCCCCTGACCTCTGCTTATTGTAATCTCTCCTCTTTATATATGGTTGGCATTTATGTCTCTACAGCCACACAAAGAAGAAATATATGATTAATCTTTTTCATAAACGTCCTTGCCTAATTTTCTTTAGATTTTATTTCTTGTTTCCTTTCCCTGATATAAAATAGATGTGAAAAATATTCTGATATATGACTTGAGAAGTTTCAAGGAGGGTTTGCTCCAAAGCTTTAGGCTAACCTTGCATGACTCTGCTAGGAAACAAAACAGAGTATATTTTTTATCTGTCTCTTTACATGTCTTGAACAATCTTTAATTGTCATGCAGATTCCTTCATCCTGTATACCCGCTTGTTTGTGATTATGCTTCAGCGGTCATTGAGAGCTTTCCTGATATTTTCCAAGACAAACATAATCCATACGATAATTCTATTATAGTCATGGTGGGCATCTTCTACATCTATTTAATTTTCCATGCATACAACACTAAGCTCTCATTCAAATGTTCTCTGTGTTTTTGCAGCTGGCCAAAATTCTTAGACCTATGGTCCTCAACCTCATATTATGTGCCTCACATGCACGTACATTTTCAATAATCAATGGTTATGCTGCTCCGATGGAGGTTTGCAAGATCTCGGAGCACCATGATGATGTGGGGACTGGTAATGAATAATCTCTTACATGAACATGATGCACTAATATTGTTCCTTGTTTTTTTATTATTACTGGACCTACAGAGGAGAATGAATTTTCTTTCCGACAACCTTGTATTTTTTATTCAGATCTTTATCAAGAATGCATAACTTAATTTTCCTTGTATGTAGCCTTTTTTTTTCTTTTTTCTAATGGTATAACACTGGGTTTCAAATTGTGGACCGAAAATGCGATGGCAACTGTGATATTGCAGTAGCGCCACCGACCAAAACCGGTTTTCATGATTATTTAAGTGGATAACGGATTCACACCAATAGTTGTATATCGCACCCGCAATTTAACGGGTAACGGTGGATTACGTCGATCACGGGACGCTATAAGCGTTATTCCAACCGTGATTCCAACCACAATTTTTTTTGTTTCAAAAATTAAAAGGTCGGAGGAGGAGGAAGAGGGAGGTGGAGTTGAAAGTGAAAGCAATTTTTTTTTTTTGTTTAAGACAATGAAATCGAAGGGGAGGGGAAAGTTAGAGTAAAAGCTTTTTTTTTGTTTCAGGCTAAAAGGGGAAGTAGGAGGTTTATTTATTTTATTTTTTTAAAAGATATATTAATTTAACATCCCTCCAACTTTTAAAATTTATAATTTAATCCTTAATTTAAAATGTAAACTTTACTTTTTATTTAATTTAGTCTTAATTTAAATAATCTAAATTTCTATAATTTAAATTTTACAATTTTATTTTTAATTATATTTAATTTAGTCATTTTAGAGTAAGTTGTGCAACATTTAAAAAAATTCACGACTGCGATACCCATAATGACATTCATTATGTCCGCAAGATAAATGTGACGCGATCGAAAACGTGACCGCGAATGCTATTTAAATCCCTGGTATAGCCTTCCTTTACAGTTGCCTTGTAGTTCTAATAAAAGTTTTGAATATACATTCTTTTGCTGAATTTTCTTAATCGTTTATGCTTGGCATCTATGCTGAAGAATGCTGTTACCAACAAAAACGAATGTTTCATTGCAGATTCTGTACTTCGTGTTGGAAGTGAGTGGCACCGTTACCCATCATCATTTTTTGTGCCTGCTCATATTGGTGAAGCGAGATGGATTGATGACGGATTCCGAGGTCTTCTTCCATCCCCTTTCAATGATACTCTGGGAGGGACTGCAGCTGCACCACCATACTTCAACAATAAAAACAAGTCATCAGATTAGCATGTAATTTACCCTTTCTATGACCTAGTTCATATTAGAATAACTTCAATCTTTATGCTTCACTGCTATATATAGTCTCAGCTGTATATTAACTCACTAAAATTTGCATCTCCAAGATGTTCAAGCTTGTACATTCCTGGTTGAGCTGCAGCTGAACCGGCCTTACCCTTTTCGTGGAAATGACCTCCAATCATGGGAGGTAAAGTAGTTTCTTTTATATATTTTCCTGTTTTTCTAATACATTGTTCTTTATATAGTTAAATGAAATTATGCCTATTTCATCCTATCACAGCACTACCATACTTGGACAGGGAGACCTCACCTGCCAAATATAGGTCATTTTCATCCAGGAGAAAAATGTCTTTGGCATGTACAAACTTCTGAAGAGAATATCAAAGCAAGAATGATGAATGACATGTTAGTTGTATCCTACTTATTTCCTGTAGTCTTTTTTCTTTCAGTATTATCTTGCCCATTGACTGCTTAGAACGGTATTTTTCTGCATTTTTCATGTTATTCCAAGTGGGGAAAAAAAAAGGATTCAAGGAAAATTTATAACACTAACATTCAGTGATCCTAGTGATTAGACGATTTTGTAGTTGTATATGATACTGAAGGTTTAGCAGTGTACTCAACATTTTTATCCCAAAATATTTATTATTATTATTATTACCAAAAAATCATTAAAAAAAAGGAAAGAGGAGCAAAACAACCCCTGAATATGCGGTTAACGTTCCTGCACTGATCCCAGCTCATCCACAGCTGCTGCCATGTCTGTCTGATTCGCACCAAATCATCCCAAACATCCAGAGCAATATCACATTCAAAGGAAAGAAGACAAAAAAAATGGAATTTTATTCTAAATTTTAGTTGTAATAGTGAGGGTTAAATATTAACCCCAAACAAACCAATGTAAAAGGGATCTCTCCCTTCCATTTTGAAAGCAATACTAATAGGGATCTTTCCCTTCAATTTTCCTCTGGAATCCAAAGCAACAGAAACCCATTTTTTTAAGGTAATTTCTAGGTCTAATTCGAAACATAAAAACAACAATTTTCTTTTATTTATATTTTTTTCTTTCCTAAGAAACCAAGCAAAGAGAGAAGGGTTTAGTGTGGGTTCACCTGAGTTGTATGAGAGCCGATAAGGTCTCTTTGACTTTGTCTCATAGCTGTTTGGGGTTTCATCGTCGGAACTAATCATCGGAAAAGGAATCGGTAAAAGAGAATACCCTTAGGAGTTTTACATGTGGTGTTAAGGGACCGATGTGAGCGTTAGAGCCTAGTTGAGAGCTACCATAGTCCTGGGTCACCAGAAAGAGCTTAGTTGAAGGGTCGGGGAAATTTTTGAGCCGTTTAGAGTCTCGGTTTAGTGTTTTAGATCCCAAATCAGGGTCCATAAGAATAAAGTGAAGATTGTGGGTGAGTTTTAGGTTCGGTTAAGGTCATCGGACCACCGTGGATGGTGGTCGGGAAGGAGGAGAACCACCGATGTACGGTGGTCGTCGGGTTTCGATCGAGAAAGTGGGAGGTGGCGAGAGAGAGTGGTTGAGAGAGTGAAAAGGAGGAGGAAATGTTTTTTTTAGTTTCCAGGTTTAAAATGAAATAAACAAAAAAAAAAAAAAAAAGATGGGTTTTATAACATAAGTTTAAGGGTTATTTCGCCTTAGGTCTCTTTATTATTGTCGTATTTTTATAAAATAGTCGCATGTTCGTCCCTTTTTATTATTTTGTTTGAATGCATGTATTTAGGTTGTAGTTTTACATTTTTGGATTTAATTAATTATTCAGGTTTAAATTTCTGTTGAGATCCTCTACTTTCAGTTTGAATTTACATTCTGATAATTGATTTCGTGCCTATTTATCTTATTTTAAATTTTAATGTCATAATAGTGCTATTTATCTTTTTTTGTTTTTATTGAATGTATTTTTGTTACAAAACGAAGAATTGCAATTTAATCTATCTACTTTACGTGTGTTTTTTCATTTTGGTTACCTGCAGTGATTGTTTTAATTTTATTTTAATCTTACTGGTCTGATCTTGTAATTTTCTCATTTGTATTTATTAGTGCATATTTGGCTTATAAAAAGTAGAAAATTAATCTTAGATCCCCTTAGTTTACCCTCATTTTTATGTTTAGGTCATTGTTGTATGGTTATTTTTTAACTTAGCCCCTCAATTATTCTGCCTGTTTCAATTTAATCCCTAGATTAATTTTTATTGATTAACTTAATATTAATTTGGTTTAATAAATTTAGTGTTATATTTTTAAGTTATTAATTAGTTTTTATTATTATTAAATTTGTATTATTAATTTTAGTACATTCAAATTATGTGTGCTTGTTAATTTCTTTTATTTTGATGCTTTTAATTTATATTCTTTATATTTAATGTTTTCTTTACTTTATTTTATTTTAAACTCAAACCTTTAGATTTAGATTCCTTTAAATTAAGTTCTTATTAGAAATTTTTAGGCTTTAAGGTTAGTCCTTAGTGTTGAACCACTTTTTATAATATTTTGATATAACAAATTAACGCAAAATGTTTTTTGGACTTGAATTGACTTTGTTCAAAGTTTTCAAAAGTTTTTAAAAGTAATTCAAATTCCATTAAAAGTGAATTTGAACACAAAATGCTTTTCTGGGTACGTAGTACCGATATTGTTCTTACAGTATCGATATTGTTCTTACAATATCGATACTGTATGAACAGTACCGATATTGTTCCTGTAGTACCGATACCAAAGGTAAGAGAAGTATCGATACTCGTTAGGTAGTATCGATACTACCATGTTTTTTCCAAATAGCTCAAATTCCAGAATGCAAAATAGGTATTGATACTCAAAGGAGTATCGATACTACTTTACATAGTAGTATCGATACCATGAGCATAGAATCGATACCGTCAAGGCCAACTGTCTTTAACGACTAGTTTTATTTAAAAATAACATAGGAAGTACCGATACTCATTAAAGGAGTATCGATACTCCATGTCATGGGCAATTTTATTTTACAGAGAAATATCCCCAATGGCTCCAAATCACTCCCAACGGCTATAAACGGCCACAAACACATTTCAACCTATAAATACAAGTTCAAGACACTTGAAGAATGGTGAGAACACCTATTAAAGAAATCAAACTCAAAAGAAGAGTTTTTCACTCTTTATTTCCTTTCTCTTGTAAATAGTTGTATTTTTGTGAGCTTAAATTTTTTAAACACTTACCTTGTAAGGGTTTTCTTATTTACACCTTTTTCTTTTTGTAAAAAGGGTTTGGTTCTAGTTTAGCCAAGTGAAAAAGTAGGGAGTTGTAAATGTTATCTCTTTATCCTTGAAAAGAAAGAACAAATTAGTGGATTTGTTAGAAAATCCTTAGTGAGGAGATGTAGACTTCATTGAGGGAGTTGAACCACTATAAATTCTTGTGCATCAATTTTTTTATCCTTTAAATCTTCTTACTCCCTAAAAACTTAGAAAGACAATTCACCCCATCTTGGCAAATTATTTCGGTTGTCAATTTTGAGCTTCATCATTCCCAATAATTGGTATCAGAGCTTGACTCATTAGAAGATTTAATCACCTTGAGACGATCTTTAAAGAAGCTCTATCAATTTTTGACGCAATCGAGTATATGGCTTAGGCCACCGGCTCTTACTACATTGAAGACTCTCAAACGGTCAACAAGCCACCTTATTTCAATGGAGCAAATTATGCCTATTGGAAGAATATGATGATACTATTCATTAAAGCCAATGATCTTGGAACTCAATCATAAAGGGATACTTCATTCCACCCGGTGATATGGATGAGTGGAGTGATGGAGAAAAAAAGAAGTTTCAACTCAATTCAAATGCTATGCATATTTTATTTTGTGCATTAGGCCCAGATGAATATGGAAGAGTCTCCTCTTGTTATAATGCCAAGAAGATTTGAGACAAGCTCTAAGTCACTCATGAAGGAACCAATGAAGTGAGGGAAACCAATATTTGTCTTCTCAACCATAGCTATGAGAAATTCAAGATAAAACCGGATGAAGACATCAAAGCTATGACGGATAGATTTTCTGTGATTTTCAAGGTCTCAAGGGATTTGGAGAAGTGATCCCTAATGAGAAGCTTATGAGAAATATGATTTACTATCTTCCAAAGTCTTGGTAATCGAAAAAGACGACGATCATAGAAGCTAAAAACCTAAAGACTCTCACTCTTGATGAGCTTATCGATTCTCTTCTCACTCATGAGTTAATGATAAAGGAAGAAGAAGAATATGAAGAGAAGAAAAACAAGAAGAATGAGGAGGTAGGCATTGCCTTCAAATCCACCAATGAGAGAAATCAAGACTCAAGTGAAGAGGTAGATGAAGATGATAAAGAAGAAGAAGATATGGACAAGCTCTTCAAAGGATTCAAGAGATTCATGACTTCTAAGGAAGTGAAGCATGAATCAAGCAAAAAGAAGAGCCCCCTATGTTCTTTTATTGTTAAAGAACGGGGCATGTCAAGTATGATTGTCCCCTCCTAAAGAAGAAGGGATCAAGTAAAAAGAAGGCATTTATGGCAGCTTGGAGTGATGAAGATGACTCCCATGATAAAGATGAAGTAGCCAACATTTGCCTTATGGCCATCGAAGAAGATTTAATGGTATCCTCCAACTCTTGTGATTTAAATTCTTATTCATTTAAAGAGTTACAAGATTCATATAATAAGTTATATTTGGAATTTAAAACCATGAATTCCAAAAATAAGAAATTAATTTCAAAACTTAAAGTTGAAAACGATTTTCTTTTGAAAGCAAAATTGGATTTTGAAAAACGAAATGAAATTTTGAAACATGATTTAGAGTATTCAAAAGTGAAAATTGAAAATTTTGAAAAAGAATGTTTTGATTTAAAAGTTAAGCTTGAATGCTTAACAAAAGAAAAAGAAATCATTTTAAATAATTCATCTAGTTCCATAATGACAAAATGCTTACATTGTCATTATCATGGTCACATGGAACATACTTGTCATTTAAAGAAAGGTAAACGTTTTAAAATTAAACAAGTATGGGTCCCTAAAGGAACAAGGGGCATTAAAACTAACGCCTAAGGAACCAAAGGAATTTTGATACCAAAATCCAAATGAATGTCTCTTGTAGGTGTGTGGGAGAAATGATGATGAAAATGAAGATGTTTAAATGCTTTAGCCACACTTGAAAAGGAATGGGTAACCTCTAAGATTAATGCTTTTGTTTTGATAAATTGGTTGCCTATTTGTTGTAAGCATGCATGAGTTTTGATTTTAAATAATTTCAAATGTTTTCTATCTCATGTATGTTGAAAATATGTTATGATTAACATTTTCTAATGTTTTAATGATTTTACATAAATGTTTATTTATCTTAATGAATTTTGGTCAAAATTGTTTTAAATGCCTTGTTTTTACAAGTTTTAATTTTTGACCTAAATTTAAATGTTTATGCATGTAATTTATTGCAAATGATATCTCTCTAACAATTGATATCAAAATTTTCAAATTCATAAAATTTTTGGATAACTTTATGCACATGTACTTAAATTTAACAATTGGTATTGCTTAAAGTTTATTACACTTGGATATACTGAATTTCAAGTGCTACTAACATGTTTGTTCATCTTTGTTGAAATTCAATTTTTTTAAGTGTCATGATTTTTAAAGTCAAAATTTTGTTTGGAATGCTTTTATTGAGAGGGAGCTTTGATTTTTCAAATGATTTTAATGTTAAAATTACTACTTACTCTCCATTGTTATTTTTGAACTTTAAAGTTGAATTATCTTTGATATAACAAAAAGAGGGAGAAGAATGGGTTTGAAAAATTCAATTTCAAAAATGAAAAAGGGAAAGCTTTAATATTTTCCAAATAATTATCTTTTACATGAAATGTTTTATTAAGGGGGAGTTTTGCCAAAAACAATATTTCAAATGTTTTGTTATATCAAAAAGGAGGAGATTATTGAACCACTTTTTATAATATTTTGATATAATTGACAACTATCGTTTTCGATGTCAAAATAAATTCTTTCTTCTCGGTTAATAAATAATGAAATTCGTAGGAAAAAGAAGTAAGGGTCGATTCTACAGGGACTTAGAAAATTATAAATTTATGTTCGATTTGTTTAAGCCAGGCGTGAAAGTAGTAAATGGGGGGGTTGGTAAAAAGTGATTTAAATAATAATAACAACGAATTAAAGTAAAAATAAAGAAAGGATTTTAAAGTCGAAAAATGAATGTGGTAAAAACAGCCTCAAGCTTCGCTTTGACTCAATTTCCTTCATATCATCGAATTAGATTTTCCCTTCGGGATTCACGTCGGTTACTTTGTTTACAAGGGCTATCCCCGTGACTCTATTTTGTATACCGAATACGCAAGGCAATCTTTGATTCTGGCTTTGGAAATTGATCTAATCAACATCAATTGTCGTAGATCAATTACCGTTTAAGTTCATGGCGACCGACTTGGATTGTTGCTTCTATAACCGTCAATTCCGATCTCAATTCCCTCTTGGCGAAGATATCTCACCAAGTGTGTTCCCAGGAAGTCGAAGGTGCTTTCTATAAGTCGAATCTT